CGCGCGTATTTGTTGTCGAGCATCTGGCAACCGATAAAATACAGTTTTAAGCATGCATTCTCTGCCAGGGGATTTGTGAGAGGCCTTTTGCCCCTTTTGGTATGCTACGTTTTTCGCAATCTCCTCTCCTTCTGACCCTGGTTGGTATGCAAATGTTGTACGTTGCTTGCAATATGTTGCTTACTGCTTCAGAAGCAATGGCACCGGCTGCACATGTTTCTATTTGCCAAATGCAGACATATTCTTCTTACTCAATAATCTCATTTTGAATAACAAAATCAACGATTCATCGGGTGTCCAGAATCAGGTGGCTTAGAGTATACAAAGCTTAGTCTTTAGGCAAATTTTTTAGAAACAGCCAAGCACTGACAATGGGATGTTTGTGAACTAATTTAGCTGATTTAAGCAAAACAATAGATTGCGATGCTTTTCAATTATTGGTGTTATAAGTGAATATACTTGTATTATTTATACAGTGTTCATATGACAGTCCTTTAGCAGTTTGTAAAACAAATTTAACGATCTAAAATCAACTTTTTTATTGGTGGCAAACAACAAAGTAAATTGGTAAAAACTGATATGTATGATATGTATATGTATTGTTATCAAACAGTAGCCATTTATATCTGAAGTTGATAACCTAAAATATTGGTTTAAAATTAATTTAAATAAAAAATCTATAATCGCAAACTATGAATAACTAATCACTCATATTTATGTCTATTTGAATCTACTTAACAATTATTGTTCGGCTTTATATTGAACCAAATGGCATTTCATTAAAAGAGAGTCGCATTTGATTAACTTATCTAAATGGCCGGTTTCCAATAGCTACCAACAGTTCAATCAACTTAAATTAAACATTCCGAATTCTTGGTAAATTTGATTGCTTTCAAGTGAAAAGTTTCAAGCTATATGTTTATAAGCGGCGAGTTCACTTGGATGTACAGACACACATACCCCTACATATGTCTATTGCCACGAATAATTTGCCAATTCCCCTGCCATTCAAACATCTACCCACCAACTCAACACAGACATCATTTCAAAAAAAAAGAAGAAAAATGGAAGAAGGAAACTCCGGTCACTGAGTACGTTGCCAACGATGTAGTCAAAAGAGAAAAAAATTTTGCTGACATTTTCATTTTCTTTTTGTGCCTGAAAAACTAAAAACGGAGTGTAGGCGCCTTCTTTGGTTATCTGTGGGGTGTATGTTGTTGCTGTCATTGCTGTTGTTGTTGTGTGCCATCAACGTTGGCGTTTTATTTTCATTTTTGCTTCGTTTTTTTTTCTCGACACGTTAATGAGATTTATTACAGCAGATTGTTACAGTGTTTTCATCATATCAGAGCGAAAACAGCGAAACAAGCAATTTAATTTTTAATTTTCCAAATGAATGCGTCCAAATTAGGCTCATTATTGTAGAGATTATCACACAATGCACGTGAGCATATTTTGTTGGATTTTATTTTGTTGATACACAGATACACATTCACATTTTCAGTTCAGATGGGTGGGTATTTTGTGTGCTTTAATTTGAAAATTATGGCAAAGTGTCTTTTCAGTTGCTTTAAGTTCATCACGGCTTAGCCCGAAACAAAAGATGGCTGGCAACTTTTGGCAGCTGCCAGAGACTTCTGTATTTTATTTCTATGAACATACATACTCTATAAGCTTAGTTGAATTTTATCGCTTTTCAAGCCGTTGAGCAAGGGCCACAACATTTCAGGCATGCGTTAGGACCTCACACGCACACACAAACACGCAAGAGCCTAGTCAAAAGCGTTCACACTTGACCAACTTTCAATTACCCTACGGCGTCGAGGCATTTGTTTTTTAGTCAATTTGTGTTAGTGTCCATTATTTGCCAGCATTTTGTTGAGCATTTAAAGCTGCCCTCGCCTCCCGCCTCCGCCCTTGACCGTTGCCTAGAAGGTTTCCATTTTAGTTGCTGACATTGCTGACGTTGCCCTTAATGCGTTACTATTGTTGTTGTATTACTGTTGTGCCTAAAATGGCATAACAAATGATCTTAAATGTTGAAGCTGATGAAGCCGAAAGGGCCAACACACATACACAATAAGCATTACGCACATGCACAAATACGTATACACCCAGAGAAATTTTGGGTACAGCATGATTTCACATTAAAATTCCATAATTTGTTCTGATATTTTCAGATCATAATTTGCTCTTCTTATGCTTTTAATTTTCTCGCTGCAGTTACGTAGAAAAACAAAACAAAGTGGCTAAAATCTATTCAAAACTAATTTAACAAATTATTGTATTTTCTCTGGAATTTCTGTATATTATTGTTAATTATAATGTTTCATAGTTTTTTCTTTGTTTAAGGCCATTAGCCAGACTTAACGATTTTTTTTCTAACAAGAAAGCAGTTTTGTTGTAAGCCATTCTGTTTTTGTAAATAAATATTATAAAAAATGATAAAATCAAATCGAGCTTGTCAGGTTCGTAAGAACGAACATCGATATTATCGAAACTTAAAAACACACAAATATCAAATATTTAAAAAATAAACTCTAAATTGCTTACTATTTTTTTATATAATTTTATAACAATATTAACAACCCTGCCAGGGAGCTTGGTACTTTCATTTGTGCTGCCATATTAATTGCGAATTTTTATTAATATCGATTATTTTTGCCAAAGTTTCATACTGGTCAGCTTTTAGTCGAAACGGTCAACTCCACTGTAACATTTCTTCTTCTAGGCTTCTTCCTATGATTTGTTGTGCTTTTCTACACCAGCCCAAATGATTAAAGGTTTTTGAAGCTGTAAGTCCAAATCTATTCTGTCTGAAAATAGTTCAAGTTATCAAAATTATTTTTTGTGTATCATAAGCAAGTATTTCGTTAATTTAATTAAATAACACTGAATTGAGTAAAGAATATCATGAATTTGTTAGCTTCTTTAACGCGAGCAAAGTTTGGAGCAATTTAGCGAAATAATACGAAGTCAATAATTACTTATCTACTTCAATTAACCAAATGAATTTCAATTCATAAGTCATTTTTCCTCTGAGTGTGCATTCACACAAAGCGCATTCCATTTGGCAAAACACGCTTTTGGCATGCCGCCTCCATTTTTGTACAGTCTTCCCCTCCTCCTCCTCCTCTTCTTCATCGTTCCCACTTACAGCGCCCATAGCTTAACCTTTGTAAATGGCGGCCGTGTGCGGTGAACGCTGCTCATTTGGCTTGATAATTTATTTTCGCATATTAATTTTGCTCCGGCTCGAGTCTCCGTCGAGACTCTGTCGCTGCTGCTGTTGCTGTTGCGGCATCCAAATGAGAAATGTGTGATAAATGAGCAACGCTTAAATGCTCGAGGATTTTGTGCACGCAGTGGGAAACTGAAATGGCAAAAATTATTATACATTTAGCGTGTGCATCTTCGCATGAGTATTTAAAGATATGCCCGCCATATACAGAGTTATTAATGTATGTATGCGACCGAGTGAGGGTGTCTGTGTGTGTATTTAATTGCTTTTCATGCTTAAAGGCATTTAGGCCACAGAATCCGCGTTGAAATTAAAATGTCATAAAATATAGTATAAATTAGGCTTATTAGGCTTAAAGTCTTACACAATTTTAATGTAGGAATTAACATAAACGAAGATAAAACCAAACACAAATTGCGAAATGTCTGTTAATCTTTAAAAATGTTCCCTAAAAAAATTAATTGTTCATTTTATTTTGTTATTTAGAAAGCCAACTGTACTTTGTTGCATAAAATATAGAGTAACAGTCATGACAGTACGATATGTCGCTTTCTGGTTTTTATCAATTAAAAGAATACATGTAGAAAAAGTAAAAAGAAAAAAAAATTAAGCTGTGCTATGCAATAATTTTTATAAAAAACGGATATTTTATACCTGAGATAGGTAGAAAAAAATTAATTTGTAAAGCAATTGAAATGTTTTGTTTTGCATTGAATGAGAAAAAAAATGATTATACTTACATTTACATATATTTATAATTATGTATACATTAAATTAGAAACTTAACAATAAAGAACGTATTTATTTGATAAATTCAATATAGGATGTTCCAAGCCGAACTTACTAAAGACCAACTTTAAATATTTTTCATTAAAATTCATCTATTGGAAATGTTTAAGCGAATCTTTAACATGGTGTCTAAATTATATACAATTTATTTCAAATTCAAGTATACTCGTATGAAGAACCATTTATTACAAACTATGCAAAATGTTGTGAGAACTCTTTACGGATCTATCTCGGAGCTCTGCAAGGTATTGCAAATCCAAACAGCCGATCGTTTCTTTAAGCTAGCCAGTAAGCAGACTAAAAAAAATATATACAAGTATGCATATTAAGGCTGAGGAACTAGTATGCAACGCCCCTCTACTTATAGTTATCTGGATATAACAAATATGACATCAAACACAATGGTATTTAATGGTATTTACAAAAAATGTGATACGTTTTCTAAAAAACGATATAGAGCTCGCAATGGCACTAGTCCTAACGCTTTAAATATCGACTATATAATAATAAAAAACCTTATTAAAAAAAAAAACAACATACCATCATCTCATGGGCCTCACACTTCAACTTTGAAGTTCTTTGATTGATTAGTGGGCTTTTGTTAGAGTCTTGTTTGTCTGGGTTTTAAAAATAAGTTAAGGTGGCGGTGCAATAGAGCATTCGGAGATAGCGCCATTGTAATGGAAAATGATGTTTAAGGAACTTATTTATGCACATTGTGCTCTTTTTATGGTTATAAGTGACATTTGTTTGCTTGCCCAATAATAGTGTTGTTTGTCAATAAATTATATATGAGGTGCTAATTCAACTGATTTGAAAGCCTAAGCGCGTTAGCCTAAAACAGTAAGTGTGCATGGCTAAGAGATCATTTTCTATTTGGCAGCAGAGGTAACGAAGTGTATTAAGCCGAAGCATCACAGAGTTATATCTCGGAGCTATGCAAGCGAGTGTTTGTTGTCTGGCAATTGTGATGCTGCTTCCCTCAAGGAGTAGCGGCAGTGGAGATCACTTAGGGCGCCTCAGCCGATCCCTGATATATGTAGGTCATACGCCCATTCTGCAATTCATTGGTGGCTTCGGTGTACCTGTTCAGGATTCTAGCATCGAGTCCGTTATTTTGGGATATGTGTTTAGAACGCAATATTTTATGCCCCACAATGCCAGCGATCTGCCAAATTATGAACTGCGACCTCAGCCCATAACGGGACGCGCTGCCTCGATCTATCGTTGGGTGCTCTATCGGGGCATCGAAACGTTGCTGGAGAAAGTCGGCCTCCCAGGACGAAGCTGTCTGAGCGCGTGATTTGCGAGCATGCAGCCTTGCCTCTCAGTCACGAGAGTGGGCTATTGGCCGAGATATTACACATTATCCTCACGCCTTCGAGTTCTAGGGATGCGCTAGCGCAGCACACGGATCGAGACTATTTATTGGCCGAGCGGTTCGGATTGCCGCACTGCTTTTGCACAGAAATGCAAAAATTCGCCCATGGACTTGATTACAATGTTAATAGAAGTGGCCGTGTAATTTAAATGTACAGTGTTGAAATAAGTGCTAAAGTAATATATAAGATTTTATTGATGTGTTGAGCTATGGTCAGACTCGCAAATAATTTGCACACAACTGCATCGAATTATCAAAGTTCAAATGCTAACGAGCCTTATGCTTCTCACGGTACACATTTCATGTCCTACATACTTGAAGGTTTCAACGAATTTGTATGCACATTTTTTGCTCGTTTGACTGTTGCATTCGTGTTATTTTAAATGGGAATAAATCAGCTATTTAGTCACAATTGTTAAGCAATTAATTAATCCCATATTTCTAAAAAATACGAGATTGTTTTGTAATATTTGTTCAAAGTAAAAACTGAACAAATAAGGGAAGATTTTATTTTGTAATTTAATTTGTATTATAGTTTTTAATTTTATTTTAATTAAATTAAATTTTTTGTAATTATTAAATATTTTTATTCAATCAAAATTAGTTGTTTTTATACATAACTATGATTATCCCTTATCAGATGCTTAGAATTTTTTTTTTTTTTAATTTTTGAAAATGCTGTAGTTTTTTATCATTATTAGAACGTACGCGTTTGGGGTATATTCAAATACGTGACGAAACAAATAGGACTTCCTTAAGTTTCTTCTGGGTTCTTAAGGAAATAAGTTACTTAGAAAAAAAACCTTACCGTTTTATATAAAAATATATATTATATAATAATGAATATTTCAGCCAACATTTCCATTTTATGATTGTTTTGCTATACTCTTAAACAAGAGCGTACGCAGGGGGGGGGGGGGGGGGGGGGGGCGTTTGAAATTTGAACAACGTGACAAGGTTCTAATAATAGTTTAAAATGCAATAAAAATGCAGTCTAATATTTTCTAATGGTCTTAGCAAATAAACTTTTATACATTTTTCTTGCAATAACTTTGCAGCCGGTTTTTAATTTATTATATTTTCCAATCGGGGTGGGCAACCCGCCGAATACATAATCGATAACATATATTTGCTACTTAATATCTCAAATGTAATGAAATAGTTACCGATACATATTATCGATCTTATCGATTGAAAAACGAGTATGCATCTAGTATTTTTTAGTGATTTTTTTGTTGCATAATTTTTCTATTACAAAAAAGTTTAAAAAATAAACTAAATTGTTCTCAACATTATTGAAACATTTTTGTTGATTGCGCTTGCAGTATTCGGTTGATGAAAATTGATTTCAATCACGAATTGAAAGCAACAATTTAATTGCCTCGTTTAGCTTCAATTGATGCATGCATTCATGCAACTGACTCACAACTTTTCCCAATACAATTGGCCAAAATGCTACATTTATTTATTGTGCTGTCGTCGCTCATCAATTTCAGTCATTGTCATGCACACCTGCACAATATTTTTATTGTATTTCAAGTCAGCGCACATTGGTTCGTGCCCCACAACTGCCACTACCACTGCCACAGCAACCAACTACCCTCTTCCTGCACTGTCCATTGCTCCACCTGTCCTGTGCTTTCCTGTCATGTCATGCCCTGTTCGTTTTTGTATGTATTTATTTTTTATTTCTTATTGACCAAAGAGCTTTGAAATGGGACTTGCCAATTATTTTGTGCAAAATCCATGAATAATACGAAGCTCGGAAACATATGGCAGCTAGTCATATTTGTGTATGGAATTGAGGGAGGAAATGCGGGTAGGAAAACAGATTTAAGTTTTAAGCTTCCCTTTGAGGAGCACACACACTCTCATACACGCTCTTTAAAATGCAAAATGTTGACAAGTTGGCGTAAATGCCACTCGTATTAAGTGGAGCACAGCAGCTACTACTTTTCCACCTCTCCGCCTCGTTTCCTTCTCGAACTACTTTGCCTCATACTTGGAGAAAATTCTGAAATTGCAGCTTGTCCCCGGCATACATTTTGAGTGTTTTGTATTTTGCAGCAGGCACAGACATGCTCCTGTCATTTGCATACAATTTGAACTCATTATACACCCTCAAACACCCACACACAAAGTTCCACACACACCATCTAGTTGCAGGCGCGCACTTCTAGCAGCTTAGCCTAACTAAATAAGCATAAATAAGATACATATTCATTTGCCAGACGACGTTGTTGTGGCGCAGAAGCCCTTCTCAAAGGGGATTTACGCTTGCCAGCACACTAAAGAGGCAATTGTGACGCAATATGAGGTCAAGATGCGGTTGTTCCACATCCATAAAGCATACGTCATGTTGTACAAGTAAATGTGCAAGCCGTTCACACATTCGTAGAATACGCTTAGCATTCGAAGAACATATAAAATTAAAAGCCTAATGATAGCAGCCCACAGTCAAATACATACATATATACACATACATATGTACTATGTTTAGTTCTGTTCGCATCAATTATGTCAGTTGTCAAGCCGCCGTCTAATCATTTTGTCAGTTTGCAAGCATAATTGATTTTGAAAGTTGTCTACAGGCGATATCACATTTTCAACAGCAACTCACATAAACGAAGAAATACATATACTTGTATGTGTATGCCTGTGAGTGCTTCGAGTTTATTTAAATTCGAATTTGCATATTGTTAGCTTTATGGAGATTCGGTTCGCCCGCTGTGCATTGCCCGTAGCCTTTGGAGTCTGCCGTCTGTCTTGGCAAGAACTTACGGTTTCTAACAAGCCACATGAAATGTTTCACTCGTACTCCAAGTTAAAAGTTTTCTGCGCCAAGCCCTTCAATGTTGATTCTGCGGGTTTTTGGATTTTCTTTTATTAATATATACATATATATCAAAGAATATTCAGAGCTGAAATTGAAATGCACTGTCAATTGACAGTGTTGTTTGATTTGAAGTAGTTTTGCAGTCGAGTTTCTGAGAAACAAACTTCAAAGTAATATTTTCTTTTTCAGTAAGTTGATTATTTATTTCACCAATTTCGATCGATACATGTTTTCTTTACTTCATTTTCCATATCTATTTTCATTTACTCGAATAGTTTTTATTTATTTCATAAATGAATGTACATTTCATGAACAAATAAACGGACTCCCTGACAAAGGCACAATACGCTGCCGAAGCGCAAGTAGATAACTGATAACTGGCATACATTATTGGCAATGGGATAAATTAAAAATAGGTGCAATGAAAAACACAAAAAGATTTACTTGAATAATAAATAGTTTAAAAATAAGCAAATCAAAATGTTCGCACATTGTAAATGGCTTTTTAATTCCTAGCCTTGTTGTATTTCGGATGAACTTGCTTTTAAATTCCAGATGAATATTGAAAGCTTCGGTATCATTATCAGTAAAAAAAATAAATAATTATTTTCAAAAACATGTAAATACAAGTATATTGGTTATTTAACGATGCATCTCATTTGGTAATGTATCTCACATAATAAAATTTGTTTCGTTTCAGTCTAGCATGCTTTGGAAACAAGACTTGGTAAAGTTTTTTATGGCTTACCCATTTTATGGCTACTTTTAGTTAAATCCTCTCAAATCCACTGGCAAGCGACACGCAACAAGTAACTGCAGAAAGTGTGGTGGCTCGACAATGCAGTTCCAATACATTTATATAACAAATAGCTCGGTTTGCATATGCATTCGGGCCATCCTTTCCAACCCGACCATCCAACTAAGTCGCTGCGGAATGCTGCCGCCGTTGGCATTGCCATCACGTTCGCTTGGCTGGCAGCCACTTTTTGCAGAACATCCTTTTGCAGTAGTCTGTCGCTTAGTCGCAATTTTTTATTTCCTTAGCCGTTCTACGTCTCGCTGCATTTTTCTAATCTCACGCCAGCTTCTTCTCAACATCATTTCCTTCTGTTCTCATCTATTCTGTTCTGTTCAACTCTGTCCTGTTCTTTTCTATTTTGTTTTGTTCTACTGCAGCTCTTGATTCAACAGCAATTCACTTAACTTACTCAAGTCGTTGTCGGCATAGCTTCCGCTCAAGGTTCTGCATTCCAGCTGCCCCCCTTCCACGTGCCCAGACTTTTCGCTCCCACACTCCTTCGCATCTTTGTCGCTGTCGGAGTGCGCTTAGTGTCTTAATGCCAAAACTCACATACTTCGTATGTGTGTTTGTGTTCATGTGCAGTGCTTTATATACATTTCGTTATCCTTTGGTTCATGCATTTGTACGCTTTACTTAGAATTGGCGACGACGCGAGTACTAAGCCGCAATGTAAGCGAAGTCTCATGAATGTTGAAAAATATTTACTATTTGTTCGCTCCGTTGTGACGGCATATCAGGTTTCTTTGAATTGAAGCTCGCAGTCTGTGTCTGTGTCTGTCTTCGAAAACGCCGAGAGTCGTGTTTCGAGCTGGTTGTAAAATCTTTTAATGACGCTTCAAATCATTTTAATGGATTTTTTGGCTATAAAGATGAAAATTAAAGTAGAGACATACTCAGATGTAATATATTTTTTAAAGTATTATTAATGCTTGAACTTTATTTGATAATGAAGCCGAATGGACTATTTTCAGTATTTAGGAAACTTACTTCAATCGAATTCTTTTATTTCTCTTTTCGCACAAGAGATGTAGTATATACATACATATCAGCAGCTGTGTAACTTTTCTAGTTAATAGCTATATCTCGGATAGGCTATTTGAATAAATTTGTAATCAATATCATGATTCTAGACTGCCCCACAGATAGTAAACAATTCCACCTAAAACTGAGTGACTTTTTTTTTTAGCAAAATACACTAACAAATTGTGAACATTACACATTTGCATTTTTTCCAAGTGTATTAAAAATTAGGCCAATTTAGTAGCTCGTGTTAATTGCACAACAATCGTTACAAGTGTGCGCCTTCTGTGGTCTCATTATGGTCGCTATTGACAATTTATTTGTTGAAGAAAAAGCAACAGAACTGCGATGAAGCATTTAGTTAGTGCCTACATTGTATATCAGGTGCTAATTGAACTGATTTTAAAGCCTAAGAATGCAAACTAGAATCGTTAAGGAAAGTGAGTGTTTCTCCCATTGAGGTGCGAAATCAGTTACTTCTTGGCAGCGGAGCCAACGAGTCAACCAGTTACCGACGGGCTCTTCTCACATAAAGAAGCAACCGGCCATTATATTATAAAGCTATGCATGTGAACGAATATTTAGTTCATTTATTTTGTTTGCTGCAATTGCTTCCTAGGCTATGTAGCAGTAGCAACGATCACTTGAAGCGTCTCAGCAGATCCTTAATATATCCAGAGACTGCGCCCACACGTCTGCAATTTATTGGCGGTATCGGTATTCCTGTGGAAGATTTGCATTTCGAGTCCATAACATCGGGCTATGTATTAAAGGCGGAATATTTTCTGCCCATTAACGCCAGCGAACTCACCCACCACTATCTACGACCTCAGGCCATAACGGGACGCGAGGAAGATGTAAGCAGCAGTGATTCTCCATTTAACTACGCCTCGATCTATCGATGGATGCTCTATCGCGGGGTTGAAACGTTGCTGGAGAAGGCTGGCCTCCCAGGACAAAGCTGTCTGCTGCGCGTGATTTGCGAGCATGCAGCCTTGCCTCTCAGTCACGAGAGTGGGCTATTGGCCGAGATATTACACATTATACTCACGCCCTCAAGCTCTCAAGATGCGCTAGCGAAGCATACAGATCGAGATTATTTAATGGCGGAGCGTTTTGGACGCCGTGGAGGTGACTGTCGGGCTGCTTTTGCAAAAAAGTGTAAAAAATCTCCCATGGACTTCATAACGATGTTAATCGAGGTGAATGGATAACAAAAAAGTAATGGGAAACAAAGGAAAACAAGCATTTAAATACGATATGAGAGTGTCAATGAAAAATAATCGAAACTATGAACGCAAGAAATGCGAATATATAGTAAAAGAAAATGTAAAGCTTGGTGTACAGGCTACAGTGTACAGTGTAATGTGGGAAAACACAATATGAATAGTGTAGTTTCTCAAGCAACGTCTCTATCTATATAAAGAAAGCTAGCTTAAAATCGAGTAAAATTAGTTATTATTATTATAAAGCATTATTGCCGGTACATGATCAATTTCCTTTTGCACTACTGTTCATGTTTTTTATTCAACAAAAATAAAATTCATTCGTTCATTCATTCCGCCTAGATTTTATTCACATGGGAAAAAGATTCATTTTTAAGCTAAGTAAAAAGCAATTTTGTAAGTATATATTTATACATCTCAATGAACAAATTAACAATTCTAGTAACTGAAAAACAAATTTATCAGTAAGGCCTTAGCATGCATTCTGGTTTCTTTTGAAATGATGATTCACATATATAGAGCATAAGATTAGTAATTACCATGTAAATATCGTACTAGATATGTTCATAAAACACAGAGACTTTTCTGTGAAAATCCAATACTGCTAGTCCAAATTTGTCCTTTTAGAAATTAGAAGAAGCTATCAATGCGTCCAAGATATCCTCTATTGACTACGTTTCGTTCAAATAGGAAAAGCAATAAAAATTAATTAATTTAAAATTATTGTCCTAATAATTTCTTTATAATAGGAATATTATTTGAACGAATTGAGTTCAACTGATTAAAGAAATAACATAAAAATGTAACCAACATTTTTCAACAGATCAAACGGCCTCTTATTCATATAAAATATCCAATAAACTGATTCAAAAGATTTGCCAATAAGATTGCATTCAGAATTGCTATAAAATGATTACTTTGCTCAACAAGTTCCTCGTTTCATTAAACTGAAGCTGAAATCTATTTCCATTATACACACACCCTCAATTTTAACTATGTGCTTCTAATTAAAAGTCAACTATTTTGCTAACAGACTGCCACCAACATATAGAGACATATGACATTTCACGTGCCAATAAACAAAGTCACAAAGACATATACTCGTCTATATGTATATTAACAGAGCCATTCAATCATATGAAAGGGAATACTGAAGGCACAGACCCAATGATTTGCACTGAACTTACAAAAGTGACAATGTGTGTAATGCATTCGCCCCCCACTTGCCCCCTCATTATTATGCCTGGGCTACAAGCAATACAAAATGCAAATTCTGCAACAATGTCGTGGTGAAAGTATGTTTGTGTGTGTGTTTAACCAAATCACGTAGCATTGGTGTGACAATCACAAAGTTGATAAACATTTTAATTAGTTTTCGCACTCATGCATGCGCCCATGGATCGCAATCAGCGTCAATTGTAATTAAAGGCATACAGTGCGTATGCGTAATGCGTGACATTAACGGGCAAGTAAGATGCTTGTTTCGCATTCAACTCGCTTAAATTTAAATACAATTTATATGAATTATATGCAGTTGCCCACACATGTGTCTAATACAAATTTATGCCCATGTTCCTGCCAACTCATTACGCTGCCAAAACACGTACAAATCGTTCTTCGTTGTTCGTCTGTGCGTGTGTGTGTGTGATAGGCTTAACTATTTAGATCTGACTTAACTGTTTTGACATTAGTCTGCACGTAGGCATGCACTGCAAAAAATGGAACGAGACATGTCTGTATCGATTTCTGTAAGTGTGAAAAGTACAGTTCCCTACAATTCAATTCTTCGATTGTTCGCATTTTATTTTAATTTAATTTAATTTCAAAACAGTCTATTTTTGGAACGCACTTTGGTATACAAAAACAACATTATTTAATTTAATCGTTAACAAAAGGAGGACTTATCTCAAAAATTAAATGAGTTAATCTGACCGAGCAAGATATGTGCATTTTCTCATTTCTCTCTAAAAAAGCTGTCCGCAAAACGTGTTCTGTTTATGGATCCCACAATTCCAGTTATTCTCCATCAAACTTTAAAAGTACACCTAAACTTAAATGCTTTTCAGTTTGAAAAACACTCTTTGTTAATTTATCAATAAAATAAATTAATAAATTAAATCATAAAACCGTTAATTTTGTAAGCAAATCTATTATGAATTATTTGAAGAGTGTATGGCTATAATATAATTACAATTATACACATTGAATAAAACGCGACATGAAACATGAAACCTAGTTTTTGTCCCCTCCCGATATTGTTTTGTAGTTGGGTGTCAGACCCATTCCGGGCTGTCAGATGTCCGGAGGCCTTGACAGGAGCAGCAGTATGGCTGAGCAGCATCAAATCGACTGCTGTTGGCATTTCAATGCCAGTAAACTAAATGAGTTTGCGATTAATTAATTACCAGGTTGTCAACGCATGAAACAAACCAATTGAGTGGCATACGCTTAAATTCTGCTTATTTAGCATTTCCCATTTCACATTGCGCATACGCCATGTTGTTCTTTCGCCATGCACAGTAAATTAAACATAATAGAACAAACACTCATGCAAACACAGACAAACACTCAGCCACTCACACACACACATGAAAAAGTGCACGTCGGGGTCATTAGTTGAATTGTTTTATGTTTGTTTTTGGCCCCAAAAACATTAGCCCGAGAAGTTTTTGTGGCTGGCATATGAAAATAACAATATGAAATTGAAATAAATTTTGTGGAGCATAAGTTACATGGGGGGAGTGGGCGTAAATGAAGGCATGGCCCAGACAGGGTAATGCGGCCACAGTTTTGGGTTAGTTTGCCGTTTGTCTTTAATTTATCCATGTCCAGCGGCTATCGCCAGAGGACGAGCATCTGCCCAAAATATTTTAATATATATGTTTGAAATGCAGTTTTGTGTTTTGTTAGGTTGACTGGCAGCAGTTTTGAATGTAAATAGATACTGCTTGAAAGTAAAATGTAATCATTTTGTTACAATGTTGTTTGTTTGCAAAATAAATATTAAATTATAAAAAACATATGCATTCATGTCGCCCGCAATTTCAGCATTCAACATTTGATAATCAATCCTTCAAAGCCAGTAACCAAAAAAATAATTAAAATGCAGTTTAATATACTTTACACACTTGGATTTTCCATTGAAATGTTTATTTTTTCAACGATTTATTTTATTTATTATTGTTCTATTTTGTTATTGTAATATTAATAAGTTTATAATAATAGCGGCTACAAGGCAGCACATTGTAAAATAATATTGTGAAGCGAACTTCTGAAGATAATAATGATATATTACAGCGTTTGCAATTATGCGCACAAGTATAATAATAATATAATAATATAATTTCTTAATACAAATATGTCGTCTGTTTAAAGTAATCTGCTTTAAAAATCAATGCTCGTCATAATAAAAGATGGATTTAGAAAATATAGTGTGCTTTTTAAATCACATATAGATATTTTTTGAAAGGTTATGATTCACCCAAGTTAATCGTTGATTTGTAAAAGTAAGAAGGATTCGATAGAAATGCATTTGTTGATATCTTTTATAAGTATACCATTTAAATTTTATTTATAAACAAGCAGAGCTTAGACTACCCACTTGTTTAGGTATATACATATGTCCAGTTTTATGACAATATAATTTAAAATTTTTTTCTTGCCTCATTTATTTTAAACTCTGTATTTATAATTTTTAAAACTTTTCAACAAGCTTAAAGTTTACTTTCGTTGCACCAGGTAAGCAAACCAAAGTTTTGTATTGCTTCCAAAAAAATAGTTTGCAATTAGTTGTTAAAGGTGCTAGTCTTACTCATAATATAATATACATATGTGTATAGGTCTGACTAACGGCAATCAATTATATCAAGACATATGTAATTTAAATAAGTAGGTTCCCCAAAAACTGTTGTTGCGCCGAATAACATGACGAGGATTACATAAAAATTGAAAGAGTGTGAAATTTATGAGGAAACGTTAAAAGAAAGTTGACGTCATTTATCATTGGGTGCGAATAAGATTGCTGTTTATCGCAATTTCTGCTACTTACTACTTAAATGCGCCCGATGTGGAGGCCATGGCCATGGAACGGCCTGATGCTTTTGAAAACTGTTTGACTTGAAATGATTACGCCAAGGACTCAACAGATAAAGCCCCTGGAAAACGGAAGCGCACATAAATCAGTAAGTAAATGTGACTTTCTCTTGCCTCGGACTTTGTCGAACATTTTACACACAAGCACTCGCACACAGACATACATATAGATCTATATGGAAGCAGTCGACTCTCCATGGTCGGTTGCTGCAACTTCAGTTTGGAGCCAGGGGTCGCGAGTGGACAGTGCGAGGCACAGTCGAAGGTAAAATTCCAAAAATACAGCACGACTTCGAATGAGACTGCTCTTGACCAGAAGGAGGGACCAATGCCGTCAACACTGCTTTATGTAATAAGTGGCGGAAGCTTTTGGAGGGAGTTCAGCTTCAATCCACTCACCCGTAGCCCCTCCTCCCACTCCACACTCCCCACACACTTGCTTGGCTTTCTCGTTGGCTCTCTCTCTATACAGATTGGCAACATTTGATGGCAAAAGTTACGTTCGCATTTATCTTTCGTGCAAGTGTCACTTGTGAGTTTTTTGAACCGCAGCCAAGCCCAAGTTGGGCACAACAAGTTCAACAGCACGTATTACAGCAACTACAACAACAAAATAAACAACAACGAAAACAACCACAATACCAGCACACAAAAGGGGTATTAAGTCAATATTATTAAATTTTCTGGCGCAACTTTAAATGAATTTTTCACATTGTCTATATAGATTCTTTTGTTCTTTCTGCACAAGTTGTTCGTATATTTGTGAAATATATGCCTACTTGCATTGCTAATTGATTTTAATTAACCAGCTCAACTGTTCGATTGAAAATAAATGTCTCTGATTTCTCATTAAAATAAAAAACGCTCTCATTAATTAAACAGCTCACCAACTATGC